GAAGAAATTGAACGTATGAGAATTATAATTACAGATATATGTCTCAATTCCTGTAGATCTTTTCGAATTTCTTTCAACAATCGAGAGAGAAGAAGTAAAATTAGGGTTCAAAAAACGGAAGAAACATACATGAGTCTCGACCTAGCAGTGGAGGCTCTTCTTCTTACAATTTTGTCGGTGTCTCACACGTTCGAACGAGCGCAAACTTCGGCGGAACGAAGGCAGTACGGCAACAGCGTGAAACGGTGAAGTGCAGCCCACGAGCGGAAGAAGGAGAAACCGATTTCAAGCTGTGATTTTGTTCTTGGAAATCCATCAACACGAAGATGCTTAGGGTTTTCGTCGAGTGAATGAGAAGGGAAACTGTGCGAGAGAGAGAGAGAGAGAGAGAGAGAGAGAGAGAGAAATGGCCAGAGGAAAATGGTGGAGCAAGATTGCGTGAAAAAACATCTTTTTTATTTTTTGCCAAAACGACATCGTTTATGCCAAAACGACGTCGTTTTAGGCGGACGAAACTGTGAACAGTAATTAGGGAAGTGGCTCTTTTATTTGTTAGGGATATAGGCAGGCCGAGTCGACCATCTCACCGTGAAGTGGTCGACAATTAAGGAGGTCAATTGCCAGAGTAAGAGGGTTTAATCAACCTAAGAGGTTAATAGGACTGCTCAAGGTCGAACAGCCACTCTTGCATCATAGTCCTCATCTCTATGTCTTAAAAATTTTGTCTTTACTACTGAAATTGATTTTTTAAAGATTTTTTGAGACTTTTTTGTAGAGTTTAAAGAACTTTTGTAGATATTTATTTAAAAACTTTTATAGAATTCATTCGAATTTTACAAACCTTAATTTTAGAATCACCACTTGGATGTCACCTTTGATAGCTTCAAACTGACCAATGGTATGGTTTTTCAATGTTTCGAATGAATGTTCGAGGCCGAGGGTCTCCACAAGCTCATCAACACCAACAAAAATCTGGACCAGTTTCTCTTCGATAGAAGCTGTATCCCGGGCCTTGCTCTTGTCTCTTTTCATCGACTTCCCCCCAGTGGAGGAAACATCACGCCTCCTCTCCTCAATCCTAGTTTCAGCAGCATCTCTAGGGTCGTCATTGCAGTAACTTTCATTTTGAGCTCACCTATGCTCTAACACCACTTGTCACGGGCTTGGTGTTTTTGTCAACCGCATCAAGCATCGCTGCTCTTCATGTTGCCAAGTTCTTGCCTTTGCAAAAACACCTTGACTCGGTCCTTTAACCCCACGAATTTAACCTTGTAAAGAACTGCAACCGAACTTAAGAAATAATGACAATAATGTAGAAGAACAGTTTGGAAAATGTCTTCTTTATGTTCAAAAAGAACTTTGTACACTTATAAGTGAAATCTCACAATCTCACAATGTGTCTTTCTCTAGCTATATAATGAGTTGCACAATCATTTATAGCCAAACAAAATTCAAATGGATGGCTGAGATGGATTTGATCCAAGAGCTAGATTCAAGTAGCTGAATTTCTGCAGATTCTAAAGCGTCCTATCTGTGCTAGATTTTCAACCACTGCCTATACAGAAACGGCTGCGATTACTATTTCCTTGCAATGGGAAGAAATTGTTGAAACCACATTGCCCAAGTGCGTTTTCCTTCTTATAGATCCTTGAATACAAAATTTATAGATTTAAATAGAAGGCAACTGATACCATGTCAAAAGATAACTAAACGAGCTCTATATGTTCCTCACCTCCTTTATGCCTTGTTTGTCTATGAACTGTGAGGTTGTAGATTCTATTGAGCATTGATCTTCAATTCAAAATAGTTTCTCTCTATATTTAGAAGCATTTTGGATTCATAACCTCAAAACAGAATGAAGAAATGGGATAATGTAACACCTTCACCATCTATATGTCTTGTTAGTATAACTAATGAGATTATACTACCCTATGGTTTGGGATAACCGAAGCAAAAATTGGTGGATCCAAGCTTTGGCGGTAGCTCGTGATAGATTCAAGAGCCAAAGGCCTCTTCCTACTTAGTGGAGAGGTGCGAGATATATGAATTGTCAAAGGAATCACGGACTCCGTGTTGTATCAGGTCAGTTATTATCTAAATTAATTGTATAACATGCACACCCGTTTTTGTCTCTGAAAATTGCTGATGAAAGAAAAACATTGATTTTGATTTGTAGGATTTAGATGGGAAAAAAAGTTGAAAGCATACAAATAAATGAGATAAAATATTGTTTCCAATGAGTAACTTAGATGGTCTACTACTTGAAACATCTCATGTGATTAGTATAAAGATTCACAAATAGATCTCACGCTAGGCTTTTTCGAAGGGTCTGTATTGACAAGAGAATGTGGACATTCCAACACCTTCATTTGGAGTTTAAAAAAAAAATGTCAAAGCCCAAAATTTTCAACTATTTAAAATAACTCGAGTTATGGTGAATTTGTAACATGCCACCGTCTTTATGGGGATGCACAAAAAAAAAAATACTCGAACAAAGTTCCCAAATGGGATTATCCATTTAATTTCGGGCTAGAAATGAACATAATTCGAATTACCAAGTTGAAATATTTTTTACAAATATTGATTCCACATGATAGTTGATGACATGACAAATCACATTCCTCCCATGTTGAGCTGCATCCAGTTTTTTAGATTGTCCAGCTATACCACGAGCCATTGTCATTCAAATAATTGACTTATTCCCTCCCTGTACCCTCATGCTCAATTCCTGAATGTCAACTAGAACTTTTCAAATAAGGGTCATTATAGTAAATTCACTCCGCGCACTTGTCTTGTTTATCTCTATCGATCAGAGCAATGGTTTTATACATTGTCTGGCCAACCACATTCCTCTTAAACTTTAGGGTCTCCCTCTCTAGATTTTGACAATAGGCAAAGAGTGGCAGAGAAGGTAATAGATATGGCTACATTTAGAATTCCGAGATACTATTTTTTCTATGCTCTTCAGTTTCTCGCGTTGATTCAATCCGGTGTCCATGGCAAAATTTACCAAGTTGGAGATTTAGACGCTTGGGGCATTCCCACTGAATCAAATCCAAATGTCTACTCTAAATGGTCCAAGAACCTTGAGTTCAAGATTGGAGATTCCCTCTGTAAGTTGATCTAACATTTGTATAATGTATTTCTTATTTAGCTTTATCATTTACTGATGATGATGTTTGTGAAGTTTTCTTGTACCCTCCAAGTCAAGATTCTGTCATACAAGTGACAGAAGAATCCTACAATAGCTGCAACTTGAAGGATCCAATCTTGTCCATGGATAATGGAAATTCCCTCTTCAATATAACTGCGCCTGGGGAGTTTTACTTGACGAGTGGAGTTGATGGGCACTGTCAAAAATCACAGAAACTATACATTTCTGTGTCTGGGAATGGATCTTCTGCTGCAGTTTCGCCGGCATCTGCTCCTTCTCCCTCTTATCCTACTGTTTTTGGGTCGATTCCAGTACAGGCTTCTGTTGCACCATTGCTCAAAATCCCAATTTTGATGTCAGTACTAACTGGATTTTTGGCATCACTTCTGCTTCAAGCAAGATAAATTAGCCATTAGCCATGTCATATCATGTTATGTTATTGTTTCTTTAATGTTTTTGTTTTCGACTTTGTTGTATTCTTTGATTTGTAGAAAGAGTTATTTGATACTATTGAAGGATATATTTTTTCTCCAGATTCGTTTTGTCATTCACACTTTATTTCCTCTCCTGTCTCTCTTTCGGCCTTTCCGAGGAGTCACATTCCGACCGACATAAAGGGAATGATACCCTATTGACCGAATTTCATTTGCAGACTTTAATTCAATTTGGAGGGTATTTTGTGGGTATTAAAATTAGATTTTTAGCAGATTGTGATAGAAGTTTTTGAAATGTGTGGTTGAAAAGTTGTGGGACCCCTGAAAGATGTGTTTAATGTTAATTGTTTGATTTTGACTTGGATTAAAATCAAATTTTAATTCGAACCAAACAATGGCTTCATTATACTTCTATTTGTCGATTGGATTACCATGCTTTAATTGGCTCAATTTAGACCAACTAATTCAATTTTGTCACATAGTTTGACGTCTGGCTCACGTGCTAAGCCCCTGTACAATTCAATTTATTGCCCATCCAATTAATTATTGATACATTACTTTTAAATTAACATGTCATCTTCAATTTACCTTCATTAACTTCACCACTAACCCACCAAATTGATGGCATGTTAATTTAAAATGAAGTATCAATAATTTATTGGATGGACGACGAATCTCAACTTCTTGTTTGGTAGCCATTATTTACCAAAAACAATGTTTTAAACAGTGAATTTTTAAAGAATGTGTAGCTAAAAAGTATAAAAAAATTTATTCAGAATATTTATTTTTTACACGTGTGGTTGAAAATGAATATTCAGAAAAAAAAAACATAAGATTTTTCGATTGTATACTTCGTCTATGTTATTTTTTGACAACCACAATGGATGATCGTTAAACATATAACTATCACATTAGCGTTAAACAATGCAACGAAATTATACAAATTAGCCTAAACTAAAGTACAGTGACTGAAATATAGTGACTCAAAAAACTATAGTGACTCAACTAGAACTTGGCTCAAAGTACAGTGGCCACGAACAAAGTTCGCCCTTTTCGTGTAGCTCCCACTTTCTCTCTCTCCTCCCAATAAAAATAAATTCCTTGTTTAGTTTAGTTGCCAATATTATATTTCTCAGGTCATTATCCTGCTTAAATTACACAATCAATTAGCTGGCATCAAAGACTAAAAACTTGCTACTTCAATTAAAGTTGTTCACCTGTTACAGGCATTGATTATATAAAATCTTAAACAAAATTATAAATAATCTGATGCCAAATTAATCATGATCTTATATAACGGCTAACTAGCTTATCATCTCTCCATCAATATTCATAGGCTTTGCTTCAAATGGATAGGCTGCTGCTGAACCAGCAGGCTCTGCAAATTGATTTCCTGATAATTTTGTTTCACCTTCGACAAATGGTGTCCTCATTTGAGGAGCACTAGCTTCCACTTCCATTGGAGTGGCCCTTGGTGGTGATGCTGGCTGCACCTCCACATCAGGGTACGCAGCCTTAAATCTTGCTCGCAGTCCTTCATCCACCAACCGTACTCCTTGCAACTGATTACCAAGTGATATCCACCTGATAATCAAGGTGATTCGATACACAAATAATCAAATATCATTTCAGAAGCTTTCGAGATTTTTTAAAACGACACAACAAATTGAGGATCGTTTATTTTGAAGATTACAGGTCTATAATCATCAATGAAAAAGAGATGGCAGAAGCATTCATATTAACTAAAGCAAAGATGAATGACATTGAATCACAGGTTGAAGAAAGGCAAATGAAAGGAAAGGAAAGGTAAACCAGTATAGAATCAAAGGAGAATCATCTAGAATAGGGATTTTCCTGAAAAAGCTATGAAAGGTTCAGGAGACAGGTATAATGCAAAAATGACGAATACTCTGCAGGTAGAGCAACTATTGCAAATGCTCTTTAGTTATTTTCAATTGCACAACTAATTTCAATACTTCTAACAGAAGATATAAAGATTAACAAGAAACATACCCAGCATGTACGTTGTGCATCCTAGCAAACAATTCCAGCTTTCTTGTCCTCGGACTTATCCTTTCTAGCATGGCATACATCTGCAAAATGTCACGCAACTCTATTACCAAAATTTATATCAGGAAGTCACAAGCGATGCATACAACAGAACCGTGAAGGTCAGTATCATCAGGATGTGGAAATCCACAATGAGCAGGTGATTATATGCAAGAAACTACTTAAGAGCTCTACTTAATTGCACAATGGAGGTCTACTCACCTCATCTGGTTTACGACTTGTTTCTCGAACTTCAGCAACAATGACATCAGTATCAATATTCCTATTTACTTCTGGGTTGCCCTTCACTCCAACAAGGCAATGCTCCTTGCTATGATTGAGCCAATGGCCAGTGCGACCAGTTCTGATAATTCGTTGAAGTTGATTGGTCTTCACCCAGATGATCTCTTCGACACGCTTGTATCCCCAAAGTTCCAAACTACAAGGAGGAAATAAATTCAAGAGAATTAGATGGAAACAGTACATTTATCATGTAAAAGCAATGGTATCCAGTTAATTACATCCTAAGCACTACACTAGGCTTACTGAGGTATTGAATCAAGCTGGTAATGACTTAATGCAACAACTTGCATTCTTACATGACATATGTTCCATTCAGTACAGATTATGGATTTAAATTCCCTGAATTATAAGTTTTACTGAGATTCTTCCAAGTTATAGAACTGTAGAAGTCTGAATCTTTTTCATAAGATGCTTATTAATGCCTTTGCCATAATTTATGACAGATCAAAAATCTTATTGTAACTGCTGTACAAAACATGTACCCAATAAAGCAGAATTTGATAATTAATTTTAAAGATTAATAACATTCAGCTGAGTCAAGTGGGGCTCCACGCTCGAGTAGTCATTTAGCTATCTGCCATAAGATTTAAAAATATTAAGGCTCATGTAAATGATTGGGTTGTTTTTACATCATTTTGTGCATCCAACCTTACACAAGTTGGAAAGAACACGTGTTTTTTGACAAATATTACACTTCACACAAAATATCTAATGTCAGATAAAACTCAGAAATGAAACTACTCGTGTCTCTTGGTTGTGTAGAACTAAAGAAGAGGAGACCAAAACTAACGTCACTTGTAATTGCTAAGGATTTAGTTTTTTTCGATCTTCCATTAGAATAGCAACAAACTGAACAGAGTTACAAAAAAAAAAAAAAAAAAAGATTCATGTAGCCAACCTCAAATTTAGTGGGAACAAGGTTTTTTATCATTTCTGTAGAGATATATTTGTTAGCACATTATAAACATGTGCAGTATCTCTTCCAGCGATATTTTAGGACCATCTTACGAAAGATATCTTTTTTAAAATTATGAAAGCATCACAGGCAAAAGTGGCATACCATTCACGTCCAAGCTCCATTGCTCGCCCAGTAACCCAAAGAAATATCAGACCATCAGTCTGTAATGCAGGAACATTGAGAGTGCGCATTTCATCATCGGCCATTGTCCCATAAGGCAATTCCATATGAATATCCCAGGGTGGATCAGCCATTATAACTCCAAATTGCCCTAAAATGTCCATTCTAAATGAACGTATATCACAATTAATCCATTGTGGTTCTCCGAGCTCTACTTCTGAACAATAATGAGCCTTCAGTGGCTTTTGGGGAGGTAAACTAGCTTGCCCCATCATCACAGGCGATACATCTGGAGTTGAGTCGAGCTCGTAATGGACATACTTGCATGTCTATCATTATGTGCAAGTAACAAAAATTTGATTCAGCAGGCAACCAAAGTAGATCTTCAAAAGAATTATAACATCGATGACAAATTTACCTTCATGTGACGACAGGTGTCGAGAAAAGAACAATCCCCCAAATTAACATCAGTATGAAGAGCAATTATGCGTCGAAAATGAACCTATTAGGTAACAGATTCATTTAAAACATTAGTGGAAATCAAGATACTTCTATTTTCTTTCACAGTGTCAACACCTGACTGGATAGTATGAGACTTTCTTTTCAGACTATCTACCAGTTAATTATGCATAAACTGACCCTACACTGACCTTGTCACAAGCAATGAAGGAACCAGACTGACGTCGGCAATCTTCTTTTGTTAATGCTGAACAGTACTCTTTTACTTGGGAACCACCTTTGCTTTTGAACTGAAACAAAAACCAGAAGAGTCAGATCAATATCAAAAGTCCAATTACGCCACCATGAAGAGTAGCCAATTTTGCAAGTAAATGCTCAATACGACAACAGATCAGCAATGGAACACCGAAGATAACAAAGGATATAGCTATGGTTTTGATCTTGTGAAAACTAGAAATTGCTATGTGAAGATCCAAGTCAGCAAGTTTGACATAGTATCACAACTAAATGTTTGTATGTTACAGTAATTCCAAAACCTACCATGAACAATAAGATGTGCAAATCAACTTCGCACACAGGTGACAAATATGAAATCTTTGAAACCATGACAATCAAAATGGATTAAGAGTCAAATATTACGATATTCAAAATAAAATCTTTTTTAAACAAACAGTTACCTTTGCAGCCACAGCAGTTTCCTTAGCAGTCGGTCTGTGAATTAGGTCCAAAAGCTCTTCCCCAGTTTTTGACTTCTGCATTTCCCGGAAACTCTTTTTATTCAATAAAGCCTCGAGATCCTTCATATCATCCTCCTCTGTCCTAGGCTTCTGCAAAGGTGTACTCATCCCCCCGCCTTGCGACCCATTCGGCCCCATTGAAGGCTGCCTATGCATAGGAGGCGGCACTCCAACACCTCTCGGAACCCCTATCATTCCCGTCCCTCTAGGTCCACCACCCCTATGCATCATCATCTGTCCTCCCATCCACGTCTCGGGCATTCCCCTCCCCATGCCAAAACCCCCTCCACCACTCACACTCTCTCCAGCCTTTGCCACATCACTAATCCTATTTCCATCATTAGAACTCTCCTCATTCAACTGCTTAATTTCAGGTAACTCTTTCAAAAGCCTAGTCCTGTCGATATTCATCACCATAACCCGTGATTTCCCACTCACGACAAACTCCTCCAACTCCACTCCACCGTTATCCTCAGCCATTGACCTCAACGCCATCTCCACAGCTAAAATCGATCCTGACTCACCACCCAGTTCCCTGAGAGCCGCCTTCTCAGCCACCGTGGCCGAAGCATCGTTCTCCAACTTCCTCAACACTGTAGAGGAATCAATCGGATTAAACGGAACCCTCTCTTGTAAACAAACCGCCACCATTGACCTGACCACCGAAAGCGGCCCTCCACTCTCCTCTATCAATGCCCTCTCATTCTCTTTCTCCGAGAGCTTTGCAAGAGAGGCAGAAGGGAGCATTTTAGTGTTCTCGTGGGGTAATTTGGGAATGTGGGCTTTATCAAAACTGGGTTTCGAGGGAAGATTCTTGGGGAGGGGAGTAAAGGGTTTGTTGTTGAAAGTAGAGATAGTTTTGAGAGAAAGATCGAGCGAGGAAACGATATCTGGAACTAGGGTTTGAAGGGAGGCAATAAGGTCTAGCTGTGTCGTGTGAATGGTTTCAGCACGGGATTCTAGCTGCTGTCTCATGTCTTTGATTGCTGCAATTGAATCTTCGTTGCCTTGGCCAGATTGAGATTCCATCTCTATTTTCTTCTCCTTTCTCTTCAATTTGTTTATACTTTTGAGAAATTTATATGACTTTGAATGAGACTAGAAGGACAGTCTGTTTAGATTGTTAGGGTTTTGCGATGGATTTTTTGAGGAAAGATTAATGCCGAAAGATGAAACAGGGAAGATTGTACAGTTACAGAAATATAGGATGTTTGGACTTGTGTTTTACATTCAATACAACATGGGTACCTTTAAAATTAGTTCTAGTTCAGTCAAATCCCCTAATTTCCACTTTGAATTTTCAAAAATTACATATTTTCACAATAGCATTTTTGGTGTTAAAAGATAAAAAATAGCCTTATATATGTTATACAAGTACAAAATATTGTTTTGTTTAAAAAAATAATACTACCATTTTAGTTAACAAGTAAAAATTATATATTTTTCACTTAAAATTTCAAAATCAGCCAACTTTTTTTATCTGTTTATTTCAACACAAATAAAAATTATCTCATTTTCCATCCGCTTCAACATCAAAATCTTATAAATTTATCAAACGCTGAACAAGAAAATATTTTTCTATATCTATCACTTCGAAACGATAAGTATATTTACGTATGTTTAATTTCGTTTTAATAAAATTAGTATACTTTTTTAATCGATAAATATTATTTCGACATTGATTAACATGTAAATAATTTTTTTAACAGATCTATAATTTTTTAAAGTATAAACAAGAAAAAAATTCATCTGCATGTATATTCTTTTATATAAAATTCATGGCAATGCACAATAGTCGGCCAACCCGACTGTCAGTCTGGGTTGATTGTTAATAGCTGGCCTGACTATTTTTTTTCTTATAATTAAAAATTATGTTTCGTAATGCAGATATAGCTATAATTCTGATTTGTTATTTTGGCGATTTGAATTGAATGAAAAATATCGATAAGTATGGAAATGGACAAGTGATATAATGGTGGTATTCCAATTTTCATAATATCGAGTACATTATATGGAGAAATATACCATGATTTACAAAACAAGCTGAAAGTCGATCTCTCTCAATACAATATGGAACTAAGATTTCAATTCAACGAGTATTCATCCATTCCGATTCCACATATAAATGTTACTTCTGATACTGAAGTGAATTATCTATTTCAATTAAACAAAATGCATGCAATTCCTCTTTGCGTGAATTTAATGAGGAAGAATGTCACCGTAGGTAAGCATAAAGATTCTTATGGAGAGGGTCACAAATTTATTATTTTTTTAGATACAGCGGAGATAGATTGTGAGGATGATGTGGTTATTTTCGAAACAGTTTTTTCTTATCGTGATCTCCCTGTTATTCACAGAATTCCCTTGGTAGTTCAAGACAGCGAGAATGAAAATAAATTTATAAATGAGGATTTGATTGTTTTATCTCGTCAGAGACATGAGTGGGGTGAGAGTTCAAGGGCTGGATCGAGTAGACCGTCGTCTAATTCTTCGCGTGTGGATCCCGATGATGAGGATTTGCATGTCGAGTAACCGTTTGAAACAAAGAAAGATTTGCAGGAAGTTGTGAATCATATTGCACTAAAATACAACTTTGAGTTTAAAGTGAAGAAATCAAACAAGTCATTGTTGACAAATATTTGCATCGATAACAGTTGCATCAAATTTATAAATGAGGATTTGATTGTTTTATCCCGTCAGAGACATGGATGGGGTGAGAGTTCAAGGGCTGGATTGAGTAGACCGTCATCTAATTCTTCGCGTGTGTATCCCGATGATGAAGATTTGCATGTCGAGCAACCGTTTGAAATAAAGAAAGATTTGCAGGAAGTTGTGCATCGGATTGCACTATAATACAACTTTGAGTTTAAAGTGAAGAAATCAAACAAGTCATTGTTGACAAATATTGGCATTTATGAGCGACGAAAATGGAAACGAATGAGTTATTTATAGTTCACAAGTATACTCGGGAACATACTCCCAAAGTAGAAATTCGTCGAAATGACACAGGCAAGTCCGAGTATGGTTTATTGATTGACAGATAATGCACAAATGTCATGACCCATGAGCGATCTACATACCTTTAGACATTATTAATGACGTCCATCGAGAGTACATAGTGGTCATGAGCTACCAAAAGGCCGGGAGGCCAAAGAATACACGTTGGAGAATTTAATAGGCTTGGTCGATGAGAGTTATGTTAAATTGGCCAGATATTGCCATAATATGGGGATAACTAATCTTGGCTCGATATTTTTTATTGAGACCGGAGGGTGAGAATTACTTCAAGTTTTTCTTCATGGCTCTTGAACAATATATTTAGGGATTTTGAAATGTGATTTAACCCCTAATTCTAGTCAATGGTACAATTCTAAAAGCTAGATACGAAGGAAAGTTGATTATTGATACATGTTAAGATGTCAATATCCAAATTTACACTCTTGTATTCAGTATAGTCAATAGCGAGAATGATCTGTCGATGTGTTGGTGCTTCACAAAACTGAAGGAAGTAATTGGGGAAGTCAATTACTTTGCCTTTGTAACTAATAGTGGGCCATCTATAATAAATGGTATCGCTGAAATTTTTCCCAAAACACATTATGGGCAATGCATGTACCATATACAAGGTAACATAAAGACTAAGTACCGAGACAAAGACATCGTTTCATTGTTTAGGAGAGTCGAAGAAGCTTGCAGTATTGAAAAGTATAATAAATTCATGATCAAAATAGTAAGTAAATCATCCCCAGAATATGATTATCTAATAAAAATAAGGATTGAACATTGGGCGCTGTTACATTTTTCAAGACGTCGATGCTATATAATGACGTCAAACAATGTAGAGTCTCTCAGTGCATTATTCAAGAAAGATCGAGAGTTATCAATCCTTGCAATGGTTGAGAACATTCGTAACAAGCTGCAACAGTGATTTCATGATCGACGTGCGAAAACATAGAGTTGCACGAGCTTGCTAACCCCGGCTCAGAATGATAAACTCTTCAAGACTTCAGATGTTGCAAAAAAGTTGAATGATGAACCATTGGATGAGTTACGCTTCTTCGTGAAATGTACACGTAATATGTCACACATGATGACCTTGATTGATAACACCTGTACTTGTAGTCGATTTCAGTTGGAGAGTTTTTCATGTGAGTATGCAGTCGCGATGGCTATATATAGATGTTTTGTAGTGAGAACCTTTTGCTCTCCTTATTACACGGTTGGTTATTGGAGATTAGCGTATGTTAAGACTATATTTCCTTTACCGAATGAAACCGAGTGGGAAGGTCCTGACTGTATTCTCCCACTTAATAATTTGTTGCCAACCAAAGTTGAACCACATGATCTTAGAAGTCCACGTACGTCTAGAATACCATCTATCAAAGAGTTTCCTCGATCGCGTAGGTGCAGCAGGTGCAGAGTAACGTGACATACTTGTCGATTTTGTACAAGTTAGATTATCCTAAATGACAATTAGACATATATGTAATCTATCAATGTTAATATTCGACCACAGTTTCATATTTCGAATCAACTATTAGAAAGTTGCAGTTAGGTCCCCATACTTTATTTTCATACAACTAAAATAATATACAATTTATTACAGATCACAATTAAATAAATAATTAAATGGACAATATTTACATTTTTAATAAAAAATATACAATATACAACTACCCTACATTAAATAATCAATATTTACAATTTCTAATAGAACAATATATAATATTACTAGATTATAATTGAATTCGCACAAATCACACGCTAACTTTTTACTCTAATTTTGTATCCAAAATTGGTCGATTACATCAATCTTATGTGATATACTCAAAAATTCAATATATTTGATTGCGAACGTGCCACAATCACCCATGTAATTAAATAATAATGTGTTAGCTCGATAACGTATAGCTAAAAACTAAGTTTTCAAATTAAAAAAATTTACGAACTCGACTATCTCGCTATTGTGTCCCGTACGATGTCTAGTCTGTCCTATACAATCACATATGCATGTATAACCATCAATCTCATAATTCACAAAGAAAACTATCCTTAGTGAAAATGTTGTTGGTGATTGGGTTGTGTGGTGGTCGGCATTGGGTTGACTATGAGTGTGGCGACTTTGAATGGATCCTGACTGTTAGATTGTGTGAGTTCTTTCCTTTTTTTTTTTTTTTCACTAANGAGGTTTTTTTTTTTTTTTTTTTTTTTTTTCCTTTTTCCTCTCCACTTAAACACTTTGTACAAATAAGGGTATTTTTTTTATTTTTGGTATTTAATTTCACAATTTCAAAATTTGTTTTAATGATCAAAGGCCATAATGGAAATATAGTCGGGTCAACTGCCTACTTCTATGTATTTTCTCAATAAAACATAGAGGCTAAATTCAATTTATGAGAAAATTAGCCCTTGTTTGATTGGAATTAAAATGATATATTTAGTAGATTTTGATAAAAATTGATGAAAAGTATGATTAAAATTTATTATTAACTTTGAACTAGATTAAAATCAAGGTTTTAATCCAAATCAAACAGGGACTTAGTAATGCTATGAATAATTCTGGTTGCTTGATTTTTATAGTGACTATACGTTATCGTTAATAAATAATGGTTAAATAGAATTTCGAATTATAGTTCTCAGGGAAATTACTATTCAACCATTGATTTAATAATTTCTAACTCATATTTGAATTAAAAAAATAATGTGATTTTCATTTTTATCATAAATCTACAAAAATAAATAAAAGTGCACAAATCGACAATTTAAGTATTCAAATGATGTGTAAAAAAAGTGTTCAATTCACGAGTTCCCATTGTCATCTTCTTAACATCATATTCCAACAATAATCAATTATTATTTATCCGGTCGAATTTTTTTAAATTAATTGGTTTAATTATTGTCAGTTCAAATTAATCCTACTCATTTAAATCAATTCAATATATCTCTACATGAATCAAGACAAGACTTAATTGAGAACATTCAATTACTAGAGAATTCAATTAATAATCGCAAAATTAGTATAAGTGTAT